TCACTTAAACCATTTACCATTTACTGCATTGTTCTGTAATGATTTACAAGTGAAATAGATCATTTTGAAATCGGATGAATCTTTTTGAATCACCCTGCATTTTAAACGATTATCTGCCAATACCCATATGATTCCCATATCATTGTGGTTCCTCATCAGTTTTTTTATAAAAACGCCCATAATAGAGTGTGTTATTAATATCAAATGATATTTATTTTGTGTGTGTATTAATATTCACACTGTCAGAATAGATCAGGTGTAGTTTTCTGTTCTGTAATGTCAGTCTTCTATATCAAGCATCCCTGACTGAACAATCTGCAACCATCCAATGCAATCCAATACAGAAAATGTCTGTACATTCTGATGTAAGAATATAGGAAACTAAGAATTTTTAAACTTTTAAAGCTTTTAAAATGATATAATAGAATGAATCTTGCTCAATGACCAGGGATACGAACTAAGAAGATAGATTTAATTTCAGGTTGACCTTAAGAAAATGCCACCCTAAACTTCAAGAATGTTTTGGAACAAAGGCTTGGAGAATAATGTACGACTGTCCTAGTGTGAAAAAAGTCAAGAACCAGCCAACTTAACAGCAGAGAAGACATGACTATAAGAACTTTATTTATTAATCATTATTTATTTATTAAGCAGAGATGTGTTCATTTTCATATTAAAAAAATGTAACAGTTTACAATTTGTGCTGTTATGAGACTCAATATAAATTTTATTAAAATTCATTACATATGAACAAAAAATCAACAGTGAACCGCAGCTAGTTTTACCTCACAGCTTAATAGCATGAGAATTTTCATGCATGCGAGTGTGTGCTCAGAGAAGACTGTGTGTGTGTGTGTTAGATTGGATTTCTCGCTGGTCGTGCACAGTAAAACTGTAATTAATGTGTACGGAGTGTATATTGTTTTAAATCTAGAGGAGCTCCCACTGTGGCCTTTATGAAATTACAGCCGTGGCTGAGATTTGTTTTTGGATTTCACACTCTCACACACTCTTTGGGTTTAGTTTCTTTGTCCACAGATTTGGTTTCATGCTCTTTTTCAAAACTCTATCGGATGGTGAGGAGAAAGTTCTATGATAATAATAATAATATGACCTTCTCTTCGGTACGGCTCCTACAGCGCTGCGGCTGACGTTCAGCTCTACAGGAGAGATTATCACCGACTGTCCGGAGCAGATCCCTATCGCCGTGGAAACACCACTCTGAGGTGTTTACCCATAATACTTTGCACTGCCTACCTGTTCAATTCTCACACACACACACACCTTCACACGCATGCACATACTGTTGTACATGTGTGTGTCTGTGAGGTGCGTATATTTGTGTGTGTGTGTGTGTGCGTGTGTGCGCCTGTAATATGCGTGTCTGTGAGGTGTGCATTTGTGTGTCTGTAAGGTTTGTGTATTTCTGTGTATGTGCGTGAGTGTCTGTGATGCATGCATGTGCGTGTGTGTGTAAGTGAGACAGATCACTTTAAAACATTACACACACACACACAAACACATGCCGGGTGTGGCCTCCGGCAAATGATTTTCTGTCACCGTTGCGGTGTGTGTGGGTGTGTGTTAAGGTCTGTTTGTTCACTGTCTCAAGAGATTCTGTATGAAATGTGAAAAGCAGATGTTTGTTTATTTGTTTTTTTCTCTCCGGTTTCATTCACACCTCTCATCTCTATTTGGGAGTAAAAGTCATTTTCACAAACCATCTACTACAACACAGCTATTACTGAATACTACAGCTATTCTGCTACTGCTACTACAATCAGAATCAGTATCTACCTTATTTTGGTGGTTTTGAACATGCTATGTTAATATATACATGCAAATATATGCATATATAGTAAGTAATATACATTAATATAAAACACATTTGTTGTAGGTATCTGTATAAAATGGTTTTATTACAATGCTACTGCTGTACAACTTCACATTTTTCAAATTATTTGAAGACCATAAAAAATGAAGTAATATTAGATGTATCTAGAATGATGAACAGAGCTGTACTTAATTCTTAAATGACTGAAAAAGCTGTAGAACCTCAAGAATGAAGTTGTAATAAAATTGATATCCGAAATGCCTCATATGTGAAAAGTGTTTATCAAGTCTTAAAACAGATAACCCATCAAGAAATAACAATAATAATAAGAGGAAAAAGAAGAAGAAGACGAAGAAGAGGATGAAGGAGGAGGAGAAGAATAAAATAAAAGTGTTGTAATAGTACTTATAATACATAAAGAAATACAAACACTTCACAGATAATACTACTGTACTACTGCCAGTAACTGTAGTATTGTTTTGGCTGCTGTCTTTTATTTTATATGAGACATTACCAGTTTTCTTACATCACAAGTGGCCTGACTCTTGCTGACAGTTTCTTTACTGTCGTTTACATTCTCCAGAGCTACTCTGACAACAAAAGGACAGAAGAGAGCCAGATTTCTTTCGGTGGTTTTGGCAAACGCTTTTACTTCTCAACTCAGTACCGCCGCTAGTTTAGCACCACCCAGGGCCGACTGGCTGGATAAGAAAGAGCCGCCAGATCAAATGAGCAGCGCTCTGGTGCGTGTGTGAGTGTGTGAGCGGGCCAGGCGTGGGGGTCAGAGAACAGAGAGCTAAGTGGACGTGCTCTTCATTAAGCTGGCCTCTCTGGGGGCCGTGGCGCTCTACCTGTCCGTGAGCTTATTGAACCGTCTAACCATCATCTCCCCTCCAATTCAGCCTCAGTCTCTGGAGAACCAACTCACAGCCTGAAACATCAAACCACTTCTTCATCTAACCGCACTCTTCTCTCTATACCTCTGCTTCCAACTGTGTTCACATTACGGGGCTGAAACGGCATAAATCTGATTTTTACCTGAATGTGGAAAAGATGCGATTCTTTTTCAGAGCTGTGTGAACACAAAATCAGAATCTTTTCAAATCAGATTTGAGCCACTTTCATACGTCACCCACAGGTATAGTTTCTACTCAGGATGAGACTCTTTAGAATCCATCCCACCACCCCACCACCCCCCATCCCACCTTCAGAGTGATCTAGAGTTTGTGTGTGAAATCTGTAAATAGTGCAGGTCTGCTCTTACTGCCCAGCTAACATAATCCAGGTGACAGAAGCAAAATTACATTGTTTGATGAAAACCCATCTGAAGAACAACTGAGCATTGATCAGTGGGCTACACTCATTTTCATGGTTACACTATACCCATTGCCATGGTGACACTATAGGCATTTCCATGATTATGCTACACTCATTTCCACAATTATTCTACACTAGTTTCCATAGTTACGCTATACACATTTCCACGGTTACACTACTCCCAGATCCATAGTTACACTACATACTAATTTCTAATGATTATGCTACACCCATGTCAGTGGTTTCACTAGCAGTAGCAGGTTGTGAGAAGACAAGCTCCATTACTGGCTGAATGTTCTTACAATGGAGAGGCAGAAATTAGACATTAAATATTCAAAACTATCTAAACAGTTGCTCTGGCAATACTGCATATAATCATGCCAGTAAATTCTGCTAAATTGAACAGCGAGAGAGAGAGAGAGAGAGACAGAGAGAGGTGTGTGTGTGTGTGTGACCCCTCCTGACATGCAGTAGATGAAATGCTGAAGGCCCGGCTTCCTTCAGCAGATAAAAGTCATCAAATGACTCCTGGAATGCAAATGGTCTTTCTGGACGGCTGCACTCTAACAGCGACCACCGCGGCCCGGTCAAAATATTACATAAAGTACTCAAGTCATGAAACGACTGCAAAGCAAATGCACAGAAGAGAGAGAGAGAGAGAGAGGGAGAGAGAGAGAGAGAGAGAGAGAGAAATTAGAGAGAAAAAAGTCAAGCCATCCCTCAATGTAATGAAATGTCTACCAAATTGTGTACTGAAAGATTTACAGGAACATTTACTGAAACTTTTACCAAAACTTTTACTGAAACTTTTACCACAACATTTGTCGAAGAGTTTACTGAAACGTTTACTGAAACATTTACCGAAGTATTTACCAAAATGTTTATTTATTAAAACGTCCACTGAAAATGTACTGAAACATTTTTCTTTCAAACTGCTTGCACTTTTCTCCTCTAAGAGAGCCAAAACCATTAATAATGCTCAAAACACATCACACACACACACGTCTGTATAACCATCAGTGTCTCACACAGGCCCTCTGCACTCCCGTTTACTGCTTTTACAAAGTTTTCTGCACTTTTCTCTGCACTCAGATTCATTTAATGTGATTAGTGTATAAATGTTGATGTTAAAGTTGTTTGTGTTTACAAAGTGACACATTTGAATCTTAAAGTGTGAAGAGAGTTTTGTGTAACTGAATAAAAACTCTCTGAGCTCTAAAACACTGCTAGGCTCATAAAGGCGTACAGTTTAGTATTTACGGGTTTTGGTAATTTCGTTGTTAAGGACACATTTAGGCAAATAAAGTGAATCAGTGCTGAAATTACTTTATGTATTAAAATGAAATGTATCTGGAACTTTGTATGGTACGCAAACGAGGCCTAAGAGCTTCTAGTACAACATCAGTGTTGTACGGACAAGCAAACACACACACACGCACACACACACACAAATGTGTGAAAACCCATCACCAACTTGCAAGATCTAAAGCTCTCACTAGTTCATAAAAGTTCTGATATTGTGAGATTTGGTCAAAAACTCCATTCAAATTGCATTAATAATAATAATAATAATAATAATAATAGTATAACAGTTACTGTTAGTGAATTTTGTGTGTGCTGTACAGAGTAACAGGGTTCAGTTTCTCTATAAACTTTAACAAACTTTAATAGACTTCACTAAAGTTTCATAATAACAATAATAATCATAATCATAATTGTATTGGAAGTAATGCATCAGTGCACGTGCTCGTTCAAGTCTTGCTCTGACTGAGTATTTCTCCTTTACAGTACTGTGTGTATGTGTGTGTGTGTGTGCGAGCGCGCGCGTGTGTGTATTAAACTCACTTACCATTTCTGCATGCTGCAGGTCGCGCGCTCCTCCTCGCGCTGTTCACGCTCGCTCCTCCGAAGTGTGTATGTGTGTGTGCGCGTGTGTGGCTCGCGCTCTCTCTCTCTCTCTCTCTCTCGCTGAAGAGTGTCTCGCTCTCTCTGAGCGCGCGATCAGAACAAGAGTCCAAAGCGAGTCTCGCGCTTCCTCGTCCACTTCTTCCTGTTCTTTTCGCGTCTTCTCCTTCCTCCTCCTCCTCTTCCTCAGTGCCCGCGCGCTGTAGCTGATCGCCGCCCGCCGGAGCTGCTGATCTCGCGCTGTCCCGGACTGCAAGAGGCGGAGAGAAAGAGAGAGAGAGAGAGAGAGAGAGAGAGAGAGAGAGAGAGAGAGAGAGAGAGAGAGAGAGAGTGAAGGAGAAACAGACGGATCTCTCACTCTCCCTGCTGCCCGGCGAGAGACCAGGTACAAACTCTGAGTGTGTGTGTGTATGTGTGTGTGTGTGTGTGTGTGTGTGTGTGTGTGTGTGTGTGTTTGTGTGTCACATCTGCCCCGGGAGCGCGCGCCAACTCGACAACTCGCCCCAACCAGTTTCTGTCTGTGAAGGAATCTGAATAAAAGTTTACTTTATTCATTACTACAGCAGGAGCACAGCTACAGTACAGTACCAATGCTGATTCACTATAATACTACAACGACTACTACTACTACTACTACTACTAATAATAATAATAATAATAATAATACTAGTAATAGTTACTATTATTATTATTATTAGTAGTAGTAGAAGTAGCAGTAATAGTAGTGTAGTAGTAGTGTTTAAATGTGGGGGTTCTCTGAAGTGTGTGTGGGAGCTGTAAAGTGTGTTTATGTTCATTATTGATCCAGTGCAGCTACAAAAGGCCACAAGGAGGAGTCTCTCTCTCTCTCTCTCTCTCTCTCTCTCTCTCTCTCTCAAACACACACACACACACACAAAGACTCAGAGATTCACATACACAAGCACATCTCTCTCTCTCTCTCTCTCTCTCTCTCTCTCTCTCTCTCTCTCTCTCTATCTCTGTCTTGCTGTTTGAGCTTTATAGGAGGAAATAAAAATTAGAAATAGAAATAAAACAATAGAAGAAAATGTTATTTACAATATTACCAGTCATAACCAGACAAAGGAAGCAGTATTAGTGGCATTAAATTTTATTTTATTGTTTTATATATATAAAAAAAAAAATCTGATGAATTTGTTCACTGCAGTCAGTTGGTTAGTGATTGATTGGTTGCTCAATCGTTCTATTTCTAACTAAATTGGATAGAATACCTTTCAAAATGAGTCACTGAATGGAATGAATTTCTAACTGAATCACTCAGCAGACTCAAGTTCTGATTCAATAACTGAATATAATCTATTGAATCACAGAATAGAACTGATTTCTAACTGAATTACTGATAGAACTGATTTCTAATTGAATCACTGATAGAACTGATTGCTAATTGAATCACTGATAGAAATGAGGTCTAATTGAATTTTGGAATAGAACTGATTTCTAATTGAATCAGTAATAGAATAGTTTTTTTAAAGAATCACAGAATAGAACTGATTTCTAATTAAATCACTGAAGAGAGCTTGTAGAATACATTAAAAAAACACTAGACTCAAAAAACTGGAGTTAGTTTGTAATTAGTTGCTCAATCATTCTACTTCTTACTAAATAGTTGGATAGAATAAATTTCTAAATAAATTGATGAATAGAATAGATTTCTTAATGAATCAATTTCTGATTAAATCATTTAATAGATTCTATTTCAAATTGAATCGTTGAACTGAATATGTGTGTGATTTAATTACTGAATAGATTTCTAATTTAACCATTGGATAGAGTAGATGTCTAATTGAATCATTGAACAGACTCATGTTCTGAATAAATCACTGAATAGAATCGATTTCGAATTGAATCATTGAATATCATAGATTTCTGAATCAGAATTTAACTGAATCTGAGATAGAATTAATTTCTAATTGAATCACTGAACAGAACTGATTTCCAGTTGAATCACTGAATGCATTTTATCATCATACATTGATAGCATACATTTCTAATAGAATCATTAAATATAATAAATTTCTAAATGAATCACAGATAGATACATTTCTAGTTAAAACATTGGCTAGAAAATATTTCTAACTGAATTATTAAATCATTGAATATCACAGATTTCTAATTGAGTAATGAATAGGATACACAGAATCACTGAATAGACTATTTCTAATTGAATTGCTGACAGAATACATTTCTAACTGAATAACTGAATAGAATAGATTGTAACTGAAGTATGGATCGTATTGATTTCTAATTGAATAACAGTATCGTTATTGTGTGGATTGTGTATTATTTTTTATATATTGTTGCAAATATATTATACATTGAGTTTAGCTGCTGTAGTAATATGTATAAATATGTTTATTAGTTTACTGTTTGCATTCTGTATTGTCCATTTACAAAAGAACCAAGACAAATTCTACATATATATTAACTCATTAGGAGCTCTTTATGTGGTGCTGTAAGTTGTATTTTCTGCATTTCTGCCCAACTCATGTCCCTCAGTCTGAATCAAGCATTCATGAATCTTTGATTGTGCGCTTGATTTTATTTAATATTATTATTTTTTCTACTCTTTTCCGCTCTCAGCTCGTTCTTTGGCTGAAGTGTCTCCTGAGTGATGAACGAGGGGAAAGCGACCCATCTCTGGACAGAGCCTGATCAAGCCGAGCATCTACAGGCTCCACTCGTGTGTGTTTGGTCAAGAGGTAAATAATAGATCAGGGATTAAACTTGTGTGGAATTCATCGCCAGGGTAACAAGCCGCTCACTCCCAGGATATACATATTCATCTGGTGGCCAAGGCCGTGGAGAATAAACAAACGCGCACAGCCCAGCCAGACCCAGGCTTAAAGTGATAATTACAGCAGATATTACTGTACAGGACTGACAAAATAATCCTTTTAATGATCCTGCTTTAGTGCAGTGAAGTGGATTTGGGTTCATTAAATCAAATTGAGTTACTGTAGGCCACATCAGGTTAAGCTGAACCATAACATTCTGCACTTAAAGGTACAATCAGGGTTTTTTCATTCTTGTTTGTTGGGGTGCTGCTCCCTTCATGGCCATGATGATTCAGACATGATCATTCAGACAGTTTAGATGTAATATTTCCTGGCCTGTTCCTCACTGCACTTTATTATAAATCAGAAGATTCACCTTCTTCATGATTCTTTACCTCTCATAATTTACTTCTCACTGTAGCCATAAAATGCAATTTCAGGTCAATTCAGCCTTAAGGTGTAATAATAAGTGTATTTTAAATCAAATTAAAATGTTCATAAAAATGTATCTATAATTTGAATTTATTCATTTTATTACATTAATAAAAATATCTATTGAGTCTATTTCCATTTTGTTGGAAGAATTGCCAGGGGTTAAACAGGCTGTTTTTGTTCCTGTACCTTTAAGACTGACATATGGAAGTGAGCTCTGTCCTGATTGGCTATACTGCACTGTGCCTAATTCAAATAGAAAAAAAAAAAACCTCTTCATAACTTTAGCATGAATGTGCAGGGCTAAACTGCTCTTGGCTTGATTATGTGCGAATTTGTAAACGCACAGGCTTTTGTGACATCACAAAAACTATGAATGGAAAATGAACAGGTATGTATTAAAATGTTAACATCATTTATCTTCTGCATGAAACTCTTTTATGTCAAAAAAGTGAGAAAAATTCAGTTTAATGTGATATGAGCCCCTCAAAGTATAAATACAAAAATGTAAACAATTACAGATTGTTGCATTATTGACACTACTCAACTGACACAGAAAGAGAGCGAGAGAGAGAGAGAGAGAGAGAGAGAGAGAGAGAGCTAGAGATAGAGCTAAGAGAGAGCAGACTCTGTTGTAGTGTAACGTAACAATCTGTAATTGTTTAAACATTGCGTAATTGCTTAATACAACCTGAGCCTTATTTATGAAACAAATGTTAAAACATTGATCTGTTTTATCTCATAAATTGTGCTCTGGCTCTGGCCTGGTGAGCTACTTTAATTTGCATACACGCGCACGCTCCGTGTTCTTTGATTGCACGGCATAATGTGGGAACAATTTGGTCAATTAAAGCTATTCATCAAGCGGCCGGTGCGGAGAGAGTTATGAAGCCAGTGGTTCAGCTGCTTTATTTGCTCAAGAAAAACATGACATTAAAGGAGGGCGTTTTTTTTTTCTTTGAGCCAGGCTGCTGGAAGCCACCTGTGTGTGGACGCAGAGTGCGTGTATTGGTTGGTGTCGGACAGTGACAGGACCTTTTTTACTGCTGTCTAATTACTCAAAGGGCAGTTGATGATGAGCTATTGAACCTTGCTCGACGCAGACTCTTCTGGGACGGCTGTAAGATGTCATAGCGGCGTGTGTGTCCGCTCAATAAGCAGAGCGGATATTTCCTTTCTGGTCATGACTGGAAAGGTCAGGTTGATGATGTCACAGGCTTTGGGTGAGGGGGTGGGGCTCACACCCACACACAAAGATGGACAACTACGTGACCTCTGACCTTTGCCTGTGTAAATGCTGAATACCTGACCTGTGAGGTGGCCTCAGTTCGGGTCAGGTCGGATTTTTACCTCACCTTTAAAGGAAAGACTAAGCAGAATTTCTCAGTGAAAACTTGTTTACTGTGAAAAATTTAAAATAATATAACAGTCATAGAGCTGGTATATACAGATTGAAGGCCCAGTCATAAAGCATTTGGCAGCGTAGTTTCATGAGCAAAATTACATTCATTTCAATGGAATTTGTTGCAATCAGCCTTTTTGCACTGCAGACTTCTGGTCGAATAAATTTTGCACAATGACACTTTGCGTCAAGTTCAACTTTGGTGAACTTTGATAAATTTACGTCCATGACCAATAGCTCTACTGCTTTGCCTGCGTTGTGACTTTTGAAGGCTTCAAATAGCAGCATCGAAGAGACAAAATGGAGAAAATGCTAATTTAAGCCTCTAAACTGCAAAAACAGCCTGTTTAAACTTTACTGTTTTCATGGTCATGAAAACCACTGTGTTTACATATTGCCAATTTAGCTCCACCCACTCACACTGAAGTTCTAAGGAGTGTTTTAGCTTGTACCTGTTTTTGAATGAAGCCCATTACAGGGCCACTGCCATTACTGCACACTCCACTGCTGCCAACCATGTCAGACCTACACTCTTTTGCTAGAGATCAGTCTGTAGCACTATGTTATGGCAAGTAAATAATTATCTGATATAATTTTCACAACTTTTGTGTTTTTACTTTTTATGGTAGGCAAGTTTACTAATTGCTGTGCTGGCTCTTTGTCCCCACTGCCAATTATGCCAGATTTTCTATCTTTCTAATTTATTAGTTAATTAATT